TGCTGCTGATTTATAAGTGTAACCGCCGCGTATTATGAAATTGTATTGACTTACATTGTTTACATTATAGCAGAATTTGGTGACTATAACGAAGAGGAACTTGGAAACAACTATTTGGATGATTATCCAATGATATCTGCACCAAGTGCAACGTTTCTGAAGAATGTTATGGAATTGCATAAACTTCATAAGGGACAAACGCCTGCAGAAGCAGAATTTAATTTTTTAGAAAATGCTAAAACTGTTGATACATACGGTGTCGATTTATATGTTGCTAAAGTTAGTGTATATCTTCAGTTTAATTGATGAACCACAACAAAAAAAAGGCTGAATAATTTTACTTTTACAGTTTTCTCTAATTCCAGGAATCAAATGGCCAGTCTGTGGAAGTTGGTGTAAGCAGTGCTGGTGTAATGGTATTCCGATCCGGTCAACGGGAATCGTTGTATCCGTGGTCGGCAATCATGAAGATCTCATTCAAAAAGAAGCTCTTCTCATTGTATATGCGTGTTATTAACGAACAAAACGTTAGTTTTTGTTGCTATTCTAATGGAAATGAAGTATAAAATTGTTTAAACATTTTTCAAGTAGATTGTTTTTAAAAATTAGTTAGGCAAAATATTGAATGAACCGGATGTTTTTTCTAAGACAAGAATTAAGCTATATAGAAGTATCGTTCTGTTTTGAGCGTTTTGTTGATACATGTATATATGTATTCAGTTTTAAACAGGCTTTTTGAAGACTTCAACTTATTCAGCTCAACATACTGGGGTACAGAGTAATGATATGTGTTAGAAATAGTGACCAAAGTAGTCAGATTTTTTACCAGCTGCAATTATCAGGTGAAAACAGCTGATTATTAGTGTTAATGAGTAGGATGAAAGGAGCAGGTGAAAAAGCGTTGTATGTTCAGTTGTGCTGATTATATTTGCAACTCTTTTTGATATGAGTTTTAGTAAACGTAAAAGAGGAATGATAACGATGAATTAGTCTTTTTGTTGTTGTTGTTGTTGCTGCTGTTGCTGTTGTTATGAAGTGGTTTAGGTGCTTTACTGTGTAACTAGTTTGTTAATTTTTCAAAGTACTGCTAATTGATTTATTGCAATTAATGAGCTCTGGACAGCTACAATGTTGGTTAAGCAATGAATAACTGTTTTAAATTTATGTTCAAATATTTTTTCTTCTTTATCAAAAACCACTTAATTTTTATTTATGTGCAAGTTTTTTTTTTTTGTTTCATAGAGAATGTCCCCTATTTACTCAACGTCTTTCCGTTTACCAAGTATTTTTGATTGCAAAATTGCAACTGTATTACAGGGGAAGTGGTGGATTATCAACTATTATCAGTGATCATTCATATAACACTATGCAAGTTTTTATCAGTCATTTGTTTGTGCTAACGGCTGCCCTTTACAAAATAATTCTTTCTCATTTTTCTCCAGTCGATTTATTGCTTTCGATAAAATAATTGTACATTTTGTTAACCCTCCCCCAACTCCTCCTCGCAAAAGGAAGAAGACTAAAAAAGCAATGAATAGAGCACAAATAAATGATAATCGACTAAAAGCATCTTTATTCCCAGTAATTTCTACCTCTTTTTTTGGCTCTGATTTTGAGTTTTTTTTCTCAAGGAATTTTGAAGCAAACATAATAGGCTGTGGGAATAGATGCCACCCAATTTGTGCAATCTGTTAAACGGGCTTTTGATGAGATTTTGAACACCTACTTGTTGTGTTACAGTTCAGGAAACATAAAACAAGCTTTTTTGTTCAAAATTTCAACTTTAGCCACTAATTTCTAGGTTCAATTTATTTTTTTGTTAAGCCAAAGCGGCAGAAAGTCAGGTGATGTTGAATTGAAGTATATGGCTTAATGATATGGAGCATTTATCAGTATGTTTATGTTGAATGCTATTTTTAGTCAGTTAAAAGTGAGTCTAAAGCATATGTTTTTAGGAAAATGAAAATTGGAAACCATATAAAATGCAATTTAAAGTTCATTTTTTTTTTGTTGCAATTTCTATTTAAAAAAAAAAAAGAAATTTTTTTTTTTTGCTGACACGAATGAATCATTAAAAGTGCTTTTAAAATTAGGCATTACATCCTTTTTTTGCCTCTTTTCTCTGGATGTCTTATAGAGGAAAGTTAATTTTATTCTTTGAAACCAAATAAATTTATCAGCGTCCCATTTTTTTTTTCTTTTTTTTGACGACCAGAACTTTTCATATGACAAGCCAAGATGCCAGTTTTATTTATCGACTAATACTTTTATGACTAGCAAAATAGGAAGCTGCATCGATGACGATGACGACGACGGCGGCAGCGGAAAAAAATTAGAAGAAATAAATTTATTGATGGCTAAATTTTTAAGAATCGAAGATTGCGAGGAGAGGGTTCAAGTAGTTTAAGTTGAAATATCAGCGGACTTTTAAATCTGTTTCAAACAGTCATTCGCTTAGCAAATTTTTTTCCAACTTTTTTTTCAATCTTTTTTTTGTTGTAATAATTTTTTATCACTGCTAATTTCTTTTATTCTTTCTAAAGATAATCAGCTCTTAATCTTGGCTATTTATTGGAGTAGTCTCGAGAAAATTTGAAAGTTTTTTTTTTTTGGTAGTCTAATTTTTTATGGACTTTTAATTGGCAACATTGTCTTAGTTATATGTGGAAAAGATTAGAGAAAAGTTTTTGGAAATGCTGTTGGATGGCATATCAATGTTGGTGATTTGCAGTGATGTTTGGTTGACATTTTTGGGATTCGGGTAAAATTTGTTCAATCGTTTAGCGTAAACCGCTGCCTTTTATCTGCTGCTGCTGTTGCTGTACTCTATGAGCAGCATTAGTTTATTACATTAAACTAACACTTATTACCAACCATTTATTTGGTGGTAATGGAAAGTTGCTGAAAAAAAGATGGTGATGATAGCTGGAGAAATTTCCTTTTTTTTTTTTTGAACGTATAGAAGTAAATGAGGGGTTTTTTTTTTTTGAAAAATGAGATAGTTAAATTTTTTTTGTTCCTTTTTATGCTTTTTTGTCTGAATAAAAAGCGTTTTTTTCCTTCTTTTTGTTAATCCTCAATAGTATTGCTTTCGTTTGAAGAAGAAAAAAAATTTTTTTTCTAATGGAACTAGAAGAAAAGGCTTTTTTTTTTTCTGCTATCGCTGTATTTTAGTGATGGTTTTGGATTTGAACAAGAAAAGAAAAAACAAAAAAGGATTTTTTTTTTTTTGCTGTTATCTGTTTTCGATTATTTTCGATCTTATGGAAAGACTTAAGCAATTAACAGAGCTTTGAAAAAAAAAAAAAGAAGAAAAAAAAGCAGAAGAAAAAAAAAATTTTTTTTTCTTTAAGCTTATTCACGAAACGTTTATCTGATTTTATCAAATTGTTTACACTTTGTATACACATATATTAATGTAATTTTTTTTTTTTCAAGATTTGTATACATTTTTTTTCTGCTCAAAAAAAGCAAACACTTTTTTTTTTTTGCTTGCAGTTTCATTAAAGGAAAGGAAAATTTAATCTGTTTCTTTTTCATTACTAAGCTTTTTTTAAAAATGCTATTAAATTGAGTGTCGAGCACCAAAAATGGTTGAGCAACTTGCTTAATTACCGATTCCGATCTTTGTTGAATGATTTATTTATTGAATTTTGTTTTTGCTCTGCTTTTTTTTTTATTGGTCAAATTAGTAATAAACAAAGAAGAGCATTTTTGCTTTTTGTTTGTTGAAGTAAATTTTATAATTTTTGCTTATGTGCAATAAGGGTGGTGGTGATGGTGGTGGTGGTGGTGATGGTGGTGGTGGTGGTGGT